ATAGCTGCAATTTGCAGTAGAACAAGGGCATCATGTTTTTTTAGCATAAAATTTTTTCATGCTGTTTAAATTAAATGAATTCAAGGACTCACGGGAAATAATCGTCATATTTTACTGGCCAAGATTCATTTGACAAATATTTTGCATCATTGTAAATGGATGGAGTAGAATACAGCACATGCACTCGGCCATCCTGCATTATTCTGGGCATCATTTTCTAATGGGATAATTGTCTGTTGGACATCCAAATTGATGGTCCTTTGTTGGCGGACATCCACTTTGAAGCATTTTGCCACAAGACACTCTGGTTCGTTGAAATTAGGCCACAGGACACCGCGGCCCGGTTACAGCCGGTTGAGGAGAGAGAAAACTTTATTTTAGACATCCGGTGCCCCTGAACCACACTTGGGTCCGCCCCCAACCTGGTATGGTTGGACCCATAAGAACTCGCACCGACCCGGCCGTTAGGTTGCCGGAGATATTTTGGGGCAGAACCGACCTACCGCGGCTATAAAAAGCCGGCCATGGTTGCCGCCGCAGAGCGTCCCATCATGCTCGAGCACGCGAAGAAGAAGTCGAAGTGGTCCGAATCGTTGCCGAGCTCTCTGCGCCCGGAGTCGCCGCGTCAGAGTTCCGACTCGGCCTACGACCACCGTGGCCAGAATCACTGCCGCCCGACGCTCGTAGTACGCCCTCGCCGTAGCCGAGCACCGTCGCAGTGCTCTGGTTCTCCCCCTTTTTCCTCCTCTGCTCTGCTTCTCGCGCCCGGCGTGGACGAGACCGAGGTCATCCTCCTGCTGTCGACCTCGCCGTGACTCCACTAAGAAGCGCTGCCGCCTAGAGCCCAGCTCCCACCGGCGCCCTGCCCCTCCGCTCTCCCTCCTTGCCTTGCCTTCTCTCTGTCACTCTCCCTCTATTCTCTCTGTTGACCGCGCGAAAGGGAAGTGTTGGTACAGAAAGTGACCAACTAGTAAATATTTGTAGTTTTGTCGTACGTTGTGATCGGAGGTGGCCTAGCACTCAATAACACAGGTTTTATACTGGTTCAGGCAACGTGCCCTACGTCCAGTTTGAGTCGGTCAGTGACTTTATTCCTAAGCCCAGGTGCTCGAAGCTTGTAGTGGGGTTACAAACGAGAAGGAGAAAGATGGGGCGTGCAAGAGGTCCAGACGGCTCTGGTCGGAAGGGCCGAGAGCGACAGGAGCCACGCTATGAGCTAAGTGTTCAAGCGTGTGCTTGAGGTCCGAACCCGGCAGTTCTGTGGTTGTGAGTTAGTGAGCTTGATTGATGTTGATTAACTAAAAAGAGCTCTTCTTTATGTTGGAGGGAGCGCAACCCCTTTTATAGATAAAGGGGATAGCTTTACAAGTGAGAAGGTGAGGGTACGTATGCTACTGTTCTTTGTTGCCCATGCCGGCGGGTACAAGATAATGGTAGGCGCCTACAATACTGTTGATGTCACTATTTAGAATGTCAGATGCATGTGGGAGGTTGTGTTGTCTTCTTCAGGAATGGCAGACGTCGATACCTGCAAATACTGTTGATGCCTAGAGGCAAGTGAGGGGTTTCACCATGTTCGCTCGGTACGGTAAATTCCGGCGTCCACAACACTGTCGATGCCCAGAGGTATGTGGGAGGCTTTACTGTAGAGGGAAATATCGGTGCCTACAACATTGTTTGTCAATAAGAGAAACAGTTTGGTCAGGTAAGTCTATTCAAGAACCATAAGGACCATTTAAAAGTTTATATCAAGTTAATATATAGAGTATAAAACAGTAATATTCTATGCTCGAACATTGCCAAAACAATAAGGGATGGTCCCCTTTTCTCATTTTGGTAAGAAAATTTTAATACCCATGGTCGAGAATATAAATGGATCAAGTGAACTAGGTAGAGCACTACCACAACAAGATTACATTTCGAGGACATTACACCACAAAGTAATTATATAATTTCATAGTTTCTTACCTGACTAAATTTTAGTACTGAAGGCACACATGTTCCGTTGGAACTTAGTAAACAGGTCAGAGCAATATTAACACCTTCTCAACCTGAAATATATATATGAAAAAATACTAGTGCATCATAATTTCATAGGGAAAATGGAAGAAAATTGTAACACGAGCATTTTGAAAGGGAAAACAATGTACCTTAGTGCTCCAAGAGCAAGGCGTTTCGAGTAGTCATCTGTCGTGTGTTGTTTCGCTGTACCTGAGACTGCAGCATGACGCTGGGCAATTCCCATTGGGTCTTCCAAGCTGGTCGTGAACAGTCCTAAGGAACTCCTACCCACTAAAAATTATATTTGACGTGCAGCCTGTAAACAAATACAAGCTTCCCAAATTTTTCTAGGTTTCTTCATATATAATATAGTTTGTAGACATCACATGAATCATGTAGGTGTAGAGGGAATATCATACCAGGTAATAACCACTCTGCACTCGAACATATCGTTTGAAAGTTGGACGGCTTGTATAATACCCAGTCCAGTATGAATTTTTTGAATCAGCATAGCTGCAATTTGCAGTAGAACAAGGGCATCATGTTTTTCTAGCATAAAATTTTTTCATGCTGTTTAAATTAAATGAATTCAAGGACTCACGGGAAATAATCGTCATATTTTACTGGCCAAGATTCATTTGACAAATATTTTGCATCATTGTAAATGGATGGAGTAGAATACAGCACATGCACTCGGCCATCCTGCATTATTCTGGGCATCATTTTCTAATGGGATAATTGTCTGTTGGACATCCAAATTGATGGTCCTTTGTTGGCGGACATCCACTTTGAAGCATTTTGCCACAAGACACTCTGGTTCGTTGAAATTAGGCCACAGGACACCGCGGCCCGGTTACAGCCGGTTGAGGAGAGAGAAAACTTTATTTTAGACATCCGGTGCCCCTGAACCACACTTGGGTCCGCCCCCAACCTGGTATGGTTGGACCCATAAGAACTCGCACCGACCCGGCCGTTAGGTTGCCGGAGATATTTTGGGGCAGAACCGACCTACCGCGGCTATAAAAAGCCGGCCATGGTTGCCGCCGCAGAGCGTCCCATCATGCTCGAGCACGCGAAGAAGAAGTCGAAGTGGTCCGAATCGTTGCCGAGCTCTCTGCGCCCGGAGTCGCCGCGTCAGAGTTCCGACTCGGCCTACGACCACCGTGGCCAGAATCACTGCCGCCCGACGCTCGTAGTACGCCCTCGCCGTAGCCGAGCACCGTCGCAGTGCTCTGGTTCTCCCCCTTTTTCCTCCTCTGCTCTGCTTCTCGCGCCCGGCGTGGACGAGACCGAGGTCATCCTCCTGCTGTCGACCTCGCCGTGACTCCACTAAGAAGCGCTGCCGCCTAGAGCCCAGCTCCCACCGGCGCCCTGCCCCTCCGCTCTCCCTCCTTGCCTTGCCTTCTCTCTGTCACTCTCCCTCTATTCTCTCTGTTGACCGCGCGAAAGGGAAGTGTTGGTACAGAAAGTGACCAACTAGTAAATATTTGTAGTTTTGTCGTACGTTGTGATCGGAGGTGGCCTAGCACTCAATAACACAGGTTTTATACTGGTTCAGGCAACGTGCCCTACGTCCAGTTTGAGTCGGTCAGTGACTTTATTCCTAAGCCCAGGTGCTCGAAGCTTGTAGTGGGGTTACAAACGAGAAGGAGAAAGATGGGGCGTGCAAGAGGTCCAGACGGCTCTGGTCGGAAGGGCCGAGAGCGACAGGAGCCACGCTATGAGCTAAGTGTTCAAGCGTGTGCTTGATGTCCGAACCCGGCGGTTCTGTGGTTGTGAGCTAGTGAGCTTGATCGATGTTGATTAACTAAAAAGAGCTCTCCTTTATGTTGGAGGGTGCGCATCCCCTTTTATAGATAAAGGGGATGGCTTTACAAGTGAGAAGGTGAGGGTACATATGCTATTGTTCTTTGTTGCCCATGCCGGCGGGTATAAGATAATGGTAGGCGCCCACAATATTGTTGATGTCACTGTTTAGAATGTCAGATGCATGTGGGAGGTTATGTTGTCTTCTTCAGGTATGGTAGACGTCGGTACCTGCATATACTGTTGATGCCCGGAGGCACGTGAGGGGTTTCACCATGTTCGCTCGGTACGGTAAATTCCGGCGCCCACAACACTGTCGATGCCCAGAGGTATGTGGGGGCTTTCCGGTCGAAGATTGGATCACTCCGCCGGCCTGTCGCTTAGGTACATGGGCCGATCCATGAGTTGCGTGCTGTCTACTTGGGGCGAGCCTTTGCGGGGAAGCCGGTCCACGAGGGACCCCGGGTTTATGAACCCGACAGAAAGAAAGCAGAAACGAGTAGCAAGCGCACGCCACCACCATGCCCTCTCGCCTCGCCTTGCCTACAGCCGCTGCCGGCATGCTTCTTCCTCTCTCTCTCTCTCTCTTTCCCTCTCTCTCTCTCTCTCTCTCTCTCTCTCTCTCTCTGCTGACTGCGCCGAAGGGAAGGGGAAGCTACGAGACCGACGGACCGACAGCATCCAAGACCGAGCGCCTGGCCACGTCGCTCCAACCAATGGGAGCAGGCCATGCCATCTCGCGGGACCAAAATGGCAGCCACATGGTTCCACCTCTCCTCCATTCCGTGGTAACGGATGGGTTCTTATGGGTCCATCCAGGCCAGGTTGGGGGCGGACCCAAGTGTGGTTGAGGGGCACCGGATGTCCAAAATGAAGTTTTGTCTCTCCTCAACTGGTTGTAACCGGGCCGCGGTATCCTGTAGCCTAATTTCAACGAATCAGAGTGTCTTCTGGCAAAATGTTATAAATTAGGTGTCCGCCAGCAAAGGACCATCACTTTGGATGTCTAACAGACAATTGTCCTTTTTCTAATTTATTGGTTTCATGATATCAATTAACCGTGTCATATTACACATGACTAATGTGATTAAGCAGCCTCTTACAGAAAAATGTTGTACGTAGTAGTATCATTGCAGAAAGGTAAATTAAAATGATGGCAGAACATGAAAAATGTGTATCAAAACTGTAGAGCTTCAAGTCATGCTTGCCAGCTTCAGTTTAAAATCAGCAATACCTTGTTCACGTGATAGATAACTTTGTCCATATTCCGGAACCAAGATTCTGCATACTGAGAACTAAAATCATCTCCCATGGTCACACTATGTGGTTTGTACGCGTAACATTTGCCTGATTGTCAGAAGTTAAATCCAAGTTTTTAGTTTGAGCGAAGCATAATTAATTGCTCTAGTGAACAATATTGGAAGTTACCTGTGCTATGGCTGCAGCAACAAAATCATTAACTCGTTCTTCCACATTATAGTCAAACATCAGCATGTCATCCTACAAATTTGAAACTTAGATATATGTAAGGTTCGAGGAGCAAGGAAATGGTTGTGTACGTGTACCTGGACAGGCAAGATATTTTCATCCAAAACTTCGAAGCCAAAGCCATCTGGAGGGCTATAATTGACAGGAAATACATTTGTAAATATCTGAAATTTAACAGTACAGTTAAATTCCCTTCACAAAATCAAAATGTGATCCATTGTGCTAATGAATGGAATAGGCAAAACTAAATGTAGTAAGAACAATATAAGAACCTGTGAGGATGAACCAAAAGTTCTTGAGCCGCGCCATATAACCTCTAAGCCTTTATCAGCTTTACGCTTTTCCTTTTCTTGGTAATCGATTCTTGCAAAATGCAAAGAGTCGAAGCCAAGCTGCAATTGCAAATAATATGGAAATGTTATATTCATATGCTTTGCACAGTAACATGTTGACTGTCAAGGAAAAAACGTATTGAGAATTAAACCCAGGAAAATCACTAAGGCTTATCATTTGCATCCACAGTACAAATATAACATTCATTGAATAATTTTAATTAGTATATATCATGTGCCTGCAATGCCAGACTGACAAATGACAATTTGTGCTTTATGAGAATTGTATCTTCTGTTATTATCAAAAAAGAATTGTATCTTCTGTTTAGAAAAACGTAGGAGCTTATCATACTGCTTTACTGGTTTTGGTAAAAATGGATTCATTGAAAATATGATGTTAATAGTAGTTACCTCTACTCCAAGCAAATAAGCTTGAACTGCAGAATGTCCAAAAGGATCAATTTGCCAGCCAGCTCTCGGAGAATTGTTGAATTGTTTCTTGATCATCCAGTGACCAAGCGTGGTCTGATCAATCATGTCAATGTAATGGACAGCAGCTTCATCATGCATGCACCATCCACCATTTCTGAATCATGATATCCACCAGTAATTTTTGAAAGGAAAAAAGTATGAAGACGAAGAAAAAGAGAATAAGGAAAATCACATTCCATACATGAACTCTAGCTGACCCAAATCAACCAGCTTGCGGACTATTGCCTGAATGTTTGGGATTTTCTCTGCCCACCACCTTTGGAAGAAAGCCTGAAAGCTAAGAAAAAATCTGACTCCAAGGCTAATATGACTCATCATTAATTAAAAAGCAACAAATAGAGAAAAACCCTTTTCTACGCCTGAAATATTTGGCCTGAACTTTGTGACTTCTCGGAGATCCATTTGAAGCCCTGAATTTGAGGTGCACATTCCATGAGAAGTTTTTTGGTCCACTAACTGTATGACTCACAAGCAGTTTTGGTGCCATTTGGCCTTTGATCAGGTTATAGAACCCAACCACTATAGTCCCAGTTTCTTTTATTAATTCATCTTTATTTCCATTTGTGGCTTTTTTTTCCTTATATCATAATTATATTAATGTGGGTTGATTTATGGCCTACTTGACATGAGTTTGGCCTTTGTATCTTGATCGTTTTCCTCTTCTTTAATACAAAGATACTCAACTCTCTTGAGTGTTTGATAAAAAAGAAGTTTGAGTACCATTTTTGGCTGGTACTCAGCAGATGTTAGTGATTCAGAGGAATGTCCTTTGTGGTTAATATCTTTAATTTACTATCACAAAAGGGTATAAGCTCTAACAATAGCAATCTTCAAATGATAACTCTTAACATTTTGTATGATTAAAATATTCTATTCCTTCGACTTAAATGATAAAATGAACAATTCCAAGACCAGTGTTTGATATATTTGACGCTAAATAGACAAGGAACACGACATAGTTGCTGCCAAGAGAATGACATCACTGTACCTGCATCCTCTTCTCCATGGATGACAATGACAACCACTCACTGACTATATTCACTTCATCTTGATGAGTGCCTTCATCCCACAAACAAAACTCTAGTTCATGTAGCCCCCTCATCGTTTTTCTTATGCAAACCTTTTCCATCACGTGCATGTATATGACCATGTGGATGTGGTAACAGTGGTTGCAGCACGGCCATCACTTGATGCTAGCCACCTTCATCCTACTCTAATCCATCAGGTTGTTTCATTGAGTTCAATGAATCGTCACAGATCTGTAAAAGCTACACTGACTTGCAATCCATGCCACACAGTGCTAAGTCCGGTAGCCATCACCTCCAACTCCGAAGATGTCCACAACCAACACTGCAACAAGGATGGAGGGGAGGAATGAACTATCCTGCAATGTTCACCTAAAGCAAATATGACCCTAATAAGCCATGATTCGTGACTCTGGTAACTAAGTGGCAACATACTCATTACGTGTCACATGTCTGATCCACACCCCCCCACGTCGGGCCAAACAGGCCAGGAGAAGCCCAGGACCGAGCCCTGGACGGCCTGAGGGCTGCCCTGCGCGGCAAGGGAGGTGCGTGGCCAGGGGGAGGGCCGCCGCCACGGCGCAACCCCCTCAATCTCCCGATATCCGAGAGGATTCAGGAGAAAAGGAAGTTTAGGATAAAAACAAGAAAAATAAATAGAGAATTGTTTAGGAAATAAGATCGAGTTTGTTTAGGAAATAGGATGGTTTTGCTTAGAAAGAAGAAGTCCGAGTCTATGAGGACTCTTCTTATAGTTTCTTGGAGTGCAAGTTCCCTAAGGACTATAAATATAGGGGCAATGTAACTATTTCAATCTTATAGTCCGAATCTACCTCTTCCTCCCTCTCTCCCTCTAGCAGCCGCCCTCTCCTCTCCCTGCGCCGCCCACCTGCCCTAGCTGCCGCTGCTGTCCTGCGCCCCCTGCATCAGGCTGCCGCCGCCCTTTCCCTCGCCCACACCAGCCTCAGCTGGCCCCTGGGCAAGGACCCTGACACCTGGTATCCCGGAGACCAGATCGATCACCTGGGCAACACCACCATGATGCCAAACAACCAAACTGGATCCATGGGCAACCCCAGCTTGGCCAGGGAACTATGACAACTACTCGGGGGCTTCACCAACGACATCACGAAACACTTCGATGAGGTCCAGGAATACCTCATCTCGGTTGACAGCTTCCTCACCTCCATTGAGCAGGCACGTGCCAAGGGGGACACTACCACAGCCACGGCAATGGCAATGGTGGAACGCGCAGCAGCCATCAAAAAATTAGAGGAGACAAAAAGTGCCATGTGATCTGCCAATTGTGCCTTCCTTAACTCAAAGATGAAGAATCCTCTGCCCACCACAGCCAACGACGCCAGCACCACCTCCCCCAGCCATGTCAACAACCATTCATTACTAAGCTGTCACCCCGCACATATGATGGCTCCACAGATCCGCTGTCATGGCTCGGTACACTCGAGCAGCTCTTCAAAGGGCCCCCATATACCAACGACGACAAAATCAGGTATGTAGCTTTTCATCTTACAGGTGCAGCGCATCGTTGGTACGTCCGTCTGATGAGGGACGCATCACTCCTCGACTGGGAGCATTTCACATGCTGCATCAACAACCACTTTGGACCACCAATCTGCCACGACAAATTCAGCAGGTGGCACCTCCGTGACAAACCGGCAGCGTCCACTACTACACCAACCACTTCCTCACATATATGCTACACGCCGGGACATTCAACGAGCGCCAATAGATCAACCTCTAAATCGATGGCCTCGGGGAGCACATCAGATCATAGGTGGAGCAGCACAACCCACAGGACCTGGAAACGTCCATCTTGTGGGCACGAACACAAGAACAGCAAGCGGCAGCTCCCAACATCACAGCGCAACAACAAAAGGGACGCGGCAACAACAACAACAATCTTGTGTAGGCGCAGCGTGAGGATGGCCGTCAAGGGAGGGAGGGACATCAGCTGGCTCTACATCCACCCTGCCTAGCAGCGTCCCCTCCACAGATCGCATCTCAAGCAACCAGCCTGTCTTCCACCACACACCGACATCCAGAGAAGCCCGACGGGGCTCCAACAGTCAAAGGCATTGACCCCTATCGACGCCGACTCAGCAATAATTGAACGTCTTCGCCAAGCAGCTCGGGAGGAGTCACATCTAGGTACCATCGCCAATGCCATAATCAGCAGAGCAGCGGCACCAGCGTGGTCCCTTGAGCAGGGGATTATCTTCTTCAACGGGCGATACTACTTACCAGCAACATCTCCCTTTTTACCGGATTTGCTGGAATCGCTATAGAAACGACAAACCTACTATTAATGGCGGTAGGCTTCCATACTTGTTCAACATCTGGGGAAGGGGCTCACACATTTCCCAGCAGCATATTGTTGACATGAAATTGGCCACAACACATATTGCCATCAGCAGTAGTGGTCTTCTTCGATAGCAGCGGCTACCAGTTCGTCTCCATCAAGGACGTCTACATGAGCATGCACCACAGCTCTGGACGGCCCCTCATATCGCCATCGGAATATAGCATGGGCGACCTACTCTTCGGCACCATGGAGTATCAGACGGCCATACCTCCAAAGAGACTAACAATGGCATTATGTCTGCGCGTGATATGCTTCATCCTTCCGAAGGGCAACACACAGGTATACAGCCTCCCTAGATCCCCCCAGGGTGATGCAGGCACTACTTCTCGAAGCATCCATACCAAAGGACATCCTTGCCGCGGCACGAACAGCTCATGGGCCGACAACCGACTACGGCACATACAACTACTACATCTTCAGCTATCGGCAGCTGCCACTACTGCTTCGAGTTCTCCCCCAGCAATAAACACGACATCATCTAGGGAGAAAACACACTAGGCCACCTTGTTCTTCGCGTGGAGGCAGTACCATGGAATGAAGATGTACCTGTAGATGGCATCAACAATTGGACAATGATTCGGCACGAGGATGCGCCTAGTGGAGAATGGGCGAGACGTCACATGTTTGATCCAGACCCCCACATCAGGCCAAACGGGCCATGATAAGCCTAGGACCGAGCCCTGGTTTGCATGAGGGCTTTCCTACGCGTGGCCAGGGGAGGGCCACCGCCGCCTCCTCAATCTCCCGATGTCCGGGAGTATTCGGAATAAAAGGAAATTTAGGATAAAAATGTAACACCCTAAAAATTTGACTTAGTTTAAAAATCACTAAAAATTTGAAAATTTTAAAACCTTGCATAGAAACCCACATATATAGTTGGTTGACCTGAGTAGTAGTATAAATAAATCAACATAGGAAATAAAATATTATGAAACCTTGTGTGCTTGAGTGTTTAATTGCTTGTTGAACATATGGTGGTACCTTTATTTTCAAAAGTTGCATTTAAATTTGAATTCAAACCATTTCAAATAGGTTAATAGGAAATAAGAAAAATAGAAAGAGGAAGGGAAATAGAAAAGTGCCACTGGGCCTCTTCTCCCTCACCCTCTCCTTTCAGCCCGCAGTGCAGCCCCTTCCCGTTCTCTCCTTCCCGCGTGGGCCGGCTTGCGGCCCAGCATCGTAGCGGTAGCAGCCCGCTTCCCCTTCTCCCTCTCCTTCTCGCTGACAAGTGGGACCCGATCATTAGCTTCTTCTTCCTCCCACGGAGCCCACGCCTGCGCCGCCGTACCAGCCCTGCCGTGGCCCATCTCGGCTCCAGGGAAGACGAGCGCACAGTCGCAGGGTTGACGACACCTTGAGCCGTCCCATCTCCCCCTCTCCCCCTTTCCTTCTCTCTCAACGCTCACAGTGCGTCAACGCCAGCAAGACAGCCAGCAAGGGAAGCCCCACCGACGTGACCAAGCATGGCACCGACCTCACCGGAGTATGAATGGATGCGGAGGCATCCAGCTTACCATTTGTGAGCTCGAGCACGTGCGCGAGGTGGAAAATATCCACTAGTGGGCGAGGAAATATCTCGCCGCCGCCGCCGACCTTGCCCGCCTATAAAAGGGCCTAGCCGGTGAGTCTTCGCCTCAACCATCACCGCTCCGAGCTCTGCCATGAGCCAGAACACACCATCTCCCCCTCTGTTTCTCCCTTCTCCCTCTCGGTAGAGCGCTAGGTCCATTTCTCCCGATCTGGTTTCCGCCGATGCAATTGGAGGCCCTCTTCTTCTCCCCCTCTCGCTATGTCCCCAACCAATTGGAGCAACATGTGAGTTTCTCTAGAGCCTCCTCCACCTACTGATGTAGCTATTTTCCCTTCCCCGCCTTTGTGTTGCGCTGTCCGCGAGCATCGAGCGTCACTGAGCTGCCATGGCCGCCGGTTAGCCATCGGCGTGGCTCGGCTGGCCCTCGCGTCACCTCCACTACACTTTTCACACCCCCACACACACTCACATGTAGTTGGTTAGGTAGTTTAGGATCGGTAGGAGCCCCTTCACCACTCGCCGCTGCCACATCGGCTCGGGTGAGCCAT